ATTCTCTAATTTTGGATTAATGGTGTAAATGAAATATGGCCAAAGTACTAATAAATTTCTTTCATTGACAATTTAATGTTATTTTTACATATGTGTAGTTATTATTAGGTGTAATGTGGAGCTTAGGAGTAAAAAAGCAGGTACAACCATGTATATTAGATTGATAGGATGCAAGCATAGTCATAGTGCTTGATATAAATCAAATTTATTGAGATGAATTGTAATGAGAGGATTTTAACATTATATGCTTTACTTACTCTTCTAAGATTTTCATAGAATGACAGACTATGCTAGTTTAGAGTGGTATTGAGGTTGAAAAGTTTAATATGTTCTTTATCTTTTCACACTCAACTGAGCGGTCGGTGATACATATGCTCTGAATAACATCAATATAAAAGAGAATTATTAGGAAACATATTACATTTACATTCCATCAATCCAAAATATTTTATCTAAATAGCGTTTCATTTAATTTTTTTTTATTTTAAATTAAGTGATTGAATCTCCACAAAAATTAGTTTTTATTGAGTATGATAATTATTATAATTGTAGTAGACATTACTAATATTTACATGTAAATATTATTCCTTGTGGGGCTTTTATCATATTTATATTAAAGAAAAAACCTAAGCATTGTTTAATGATTAATAGAGCTCTAAATTATTTTTACAATTTTTAGGTTACTCCACTGCCTCCATCAAAATAGTATCAGACCAATTCCTCCTATTAACTAGGAAAGAATTGACATCCATGTTTGTATTGATAATGGCTTTGCAGAGTTCAAATAATGTTAACTGCTAAACACTAGTAACCATATAAACCTTATTAAAATAATTTATAGTTATTAGCCCAAAGGAGTTATCAACGACCCTTCCAACTTTACAATAATTACAACATCAAATAGACTTCATTCCTAATGCTAATCTTCCAAACTTTCCACACTATAAAATGAGCACTAAAGAGAATTCCATTTTGAAAGAATTAGTCTATGACTTATTGTCTAAACAACAAATTCAACACTTTGAGCCCATGCACATGTTGCTCCTACGCTACATGCACCCAAGAAGGATAGTAGCTGGTGAATGTATGTAGGCAACGGGGCTATCAATAAGATAACCATCAAATTTTAATTTCATATACCCTGAATAAAGGAGCTAATGTACAAATTATTAGGTTCTTCCATTTTATCTAAGCTCGACCTCTGTATTGGGTACCATCAAATTTGAATGTGTCCCATAAATAAATGGAAGATAGTCTTCAAGACTCGTCAAGGCCTCTATAAATGAAAATTCATGTTATTTGGATTATGCAATACTCTGGCAACCTTCATGAGATTAATGAATGAGGTACTCAAACCCTTTTTGGAGAAATGTTGTGTTGTTTATCTTGATAACCTTTTAGTTTATAACAACTTGTTTGAAGACCACATTCAGTAATTAACTACACTATTTGTCACATTAAGACAACACAAGTTGTATCTCAATATTCTAAAATGTGAGTTTGCCCCCTCAAGTGTCTATTTTCTTTATTTTATCATATCCAAAGATGACATTCATGCTGATCCGAGGAAGGTGGCTGCTATATCCAAATGGCTAACACCTAAATGTTTTTTTAATGCTCATATTTTCCATGACCTAGCAAATATTTACTGCAAATTCATTTGAGGATTAAGTATTATGATAGAAACAATAACCAATTGTCTTAAATTGAAAGAATTCCAATGGAATGATGAAAGGAAATTAAAATTTGATGTTATCAAAATAGTCTTGAGTTTATCCCCAATTTTGGCACTCCCAAATTTTGACAAACCTTTTAATGTGGACATAGATGCATCATCTTTAGGAGTGGGAGTTATTTTATCTCAGGATAACCGACCTACTGAATATTTTAGTGAGAAACTCAGTGCAACAAGACAGAAGTGGAAAGTCTATGAGCAAGAACTTTACGTTGTAGTTTGTGCTTTAAATTAATGGGAACGTTACTTATTGCATCAAAACTTCGTATTGTGTAGTGACAACCAAACTCTTCAATACATTACTAATAAAAAACAAACAAGATATTTGCATACTCATTGGATTCTTTTTCTAACGAAGTTTACTTTTGCTTTAAAACATAAATCTAATCATCAAAATAGTGTGTCAGATGCTTTGAACAAAAGATCATCCCATCTCACTTAGCTGCAAACCAATAAAATAGGTTGGAATGCCTAAACGAGCTATATATAGCAGACAAAGATTTCCAGGAAATCTAGAACCATTGCATTCATAGTTGGATAGTGTTAGACTTTCTATTCGATATGGTTTTCTATTTAAAGGCAATTTATTATGCATCCCTGAATCATCATGGAGAAAATAACTTATTAAATGTGTACATTGTGGCAGGTTGGCTGCTCATGTTGGCTAGAAAAAAGACACTACTTCTGTTACAAACAAGTTTTTTTTACCTTGCCTCCACTTAGACATAGTATGGTTTATTGAAAGATGTTTAATATGCTAAATGTATAAAAATGGTAAGAAAAATACTAGCTTATATACCCTTATTCAAGTTCCAAATTTAATTTGGTATGATCTGAGCTTGAACTTCATTCTGGGAAAATTACCATGCACAAATGGGGAAACAACTCTATCATGGTGGTTGTGGACATATTATCGAAGATGGCTCACTTCATCACTTGTAAAAAGGAATTTGATGCCTTAATATGCCTCGATTATTCTTTCATGAAATTGTTCTTCTCCACAGTGTTCTAAGAAGTCTCACCTCAGATAGTGATGTTAACTTCATTTGCCATTTTTCACATGAAGTTTGAAAATTTTAGCATAGTGAACTTAATCTAAGTTTCACTTACCACCCAAAATGATATGGGCAGATCAAAGTTGTTAACATATCTCTTAGAAAATTTCTACGATGCCCAGTGCAGGAATATCCCAAAAATAGTGGGATAAAATTCTAGGACAGGCTGAATTCACTCACAACTCAATGTCTAACCATTCTACAGGTTGTTGTCCTTTAGCATTTAATACTTTTTACTTAACTGTCATATTTTTCTTACTTATTTAACCTTCATGTTTCAGGTTTGACTTGGCTATGCCATGTTGAGTTTTGTGGAAAATTTAAAAAATGCCACAACTCTAGATTAAATTGGGTCCATCAAAGTGCAGTTTACTAGTCAACAAGTCATATTAAAGGCTATGGACATGGTCAAGGGTCTTGGGGAAGGTCCCAAGGTCAAATTCTATAAAATGGCAAGTCCAGTGGTATGTATTATAAATATTTGAAGGTTTTATAGCCTTTCAAAATCAATTCAGTTTGTGCAGTTAAAAGTGTCAGATTGAGCTCAAATTTTGAAGTTTAAGCCTAGTCAATATGCAATTGATAGATCATGAATCAGAGATTGCTTGATTGGATTTTAAGGTGATTGAAAAATTACCCAGAAAATATTTCAGGACCTAGATCCTTAACCGTGGGATTTAGTTTAGAATTTAGGATTTTGATTGGATTTGGAGTTTTATTAGAGGTATGATGGGCCTTGATGAACTCATATAAATATGAGGTCAACAACTTCATTCTTGGATTACCATGCACGAAACAGGGAAATAACTCTATATATCATGGTGGTTATGGACTTTTAATCTCCACAGTGTTCCAAGGAGTCTCACCTCAGATTGTGATGTTAAGTTCATTAGCCATTTTTTATATGAACTTTGAAAATGTTTGCATGTTGAACTTGATCTAAGTTCCACTTTCCACCCACAATCAGATGGGTATATCAAAGTTGTTAATCTAGCTCTTGGAAATTTGCTACACTGCCTCGTGCAAGAACATCCCAAAATAGCGGGATGAAATTCTAAGATAGGCTGAATTCACTTATAACTCAATGTTTAACCATTCTACATGCTGCTGTCCCTTTAGCATTGTCTAAGAAAAAGTCCCCAATCATGCATATTCGACATTGTTGTCATCCCAAAATGTAAAAGCAAAGTAGCTGGCGAGTTCTCTTTCCAATACAACAACAAGCTCAATGAAGTTCTCCAAAAACTAAAGGAGTACTCTAATGAGACATACAACTAATTCGCTGATATACACAGAAGGCATAAAACGTACCAGCTAATTATCTTATGTTTCATATAATCGCACGTATATGTATACTTTTTTACTTACCCTTCATGTTTTTTTCCCTTAAACACTAATAAATTACTTGAGAATTTTGTAGTAGAATTTTGTCATTCACTATAGGAAAACCCGCTATTCGTCGGAAAACCAATCAAAAATTATGTCGGAAATTCGTTGAAAAAAATCCGCTGGAAAATCCGCCGGAAATTTGTGACGAATTTACTTCCGCCGGAAATTCTGTCGGAAATGAGCTGTTTTCCTATAGTGATTGTAATGGGATAAAATCAATGCTGCTTCAACTTTGAAAAAAGACAATACAGCTTGGATTAAAGAGTATCCTCCTTCTGTTTTACTGCCTCTTTAATCACTACGGACCTTTAGATTTTTGCACGCAAGATAATAGCTTTAATCATTATTGTAATCGTCATCATTAGCGTGGTCACAATAACAAACTTAGACTTTATTTGTGACGGCTTTACTTTTACTTTTTAAACCAACTTTTTAGTTCAAAAGTTAAAATTTTTATACTAAAAACTTATTTAAAGAAGCAATAAGAAAGCCATCACAAACGAAGCCTTAATCTGTCAATTAATGACACATAATTAACATGCACATGATTAGTAAGCTATTACAATTTATGACAGCTTGAAAGTAAGGCTTTCCTATTAATAATAGAAGGCTTTTGTAGTGATTTTGAAACAGTTACAAGAGCATTGTAGTTGCATAGTCCTTATGCAGCGGTTTTGAAACTGCTGGAAAAGAGATTTAGCATCACGAGCTACCATTAGTAATTTAAACTTCTATAATAACTGCTATTTCTGAAACATTAAAAATGTTTTAGGCATTGATGATCAATTAAATGACTAAAAAAAATCATTTGCAATTCCGTCAATCATGAGTCACATTTGCAGAAACCCACTATGGATTTTTATTATAAACAAGAGTAGCAATGTGATTATGCGCCACAGTTCCAATCCAAAGCTTCCCCTCCACTTCCTTTACTTCACTTACAAGCTTCATCACTTGACCTTCTCTGTCTTCAAGCACTTCTATGACTTGGCTATTTTCATCAAATAGAGCGATCACAGTATACATCTTCATTCCTAGTCGCCGAGCCAGAAAGTGGAGGTTCAGTGGAAGCTTGAAGTAGATGCTTCTCAGCCATGGATTCCATGAGAGAAACTCTTGGCTTCGAGTTCTACAGCAGTCAATGGCCACCCAGAATTGTCCTTTATCGTTCATTCTAACGTTGTCAGGGAAGCCCGGCAGGTTAGCGAATACCTCAAGTTGACCACTCTTTGGACCTTCTAGCCAGAATCTCATAACCCTGAAATATTCATGGCTAATTAGCTTGTTGTTTGTGTTTGATCGTATTCAAGGTGATAAATAATTAGTTCGAGTTCAACTACTTTTATAAGTTTGTATATTTAAGTAGCCAGGTTTGAATGGAACTTATTTGATGTGTAAGACTTAATGATGGAGAGAGAGAGAGAGAGAGAAAGAGAGAGAATGCCTGCAGTTAGTCGTCTCTGTGAAGAGAAGAAACATTTGGTCAGCTGATAGTTGCACGCCATTGGGGAAAGCTAAGCCATTTAAGACAACATGGGTTGTCATGTTCAAGGGATCATAACGAAGAAGCCTACCCGTATTCTCCCCTTCAAGTAATATCAGGAAGTGATTTCTGCACCATAGATTTTCAGCAGTAAAAATCAAAATTTGTTAGTTATAGCTGAAAAAAGTGATAGTGAGTTAATTAATTAATTAAATACACTATAAAGAGCCTAATTTTCCCATGAACTAACCTTCTGGTATACCTCATACTGGTATCTGTGAAGAAGAGAGAGCCATTTTTATGAATGTCCAGATCATTAGCGAAGAGGATTGGCTTCCCCTCAACTGTGTTAGCAAGAGAAACGGCTAAACCGCCCTCCGGTCCAACAGCCATCAACCCGTAATAGGCGTCGGCTATGTACAGATCTCCGGTTTTTTTATCGAACCTCAGACCCAATGGCCGGCCGCATTGCTCCTCCTTTGCGTGTTGCTTTTTAGTCGTTGAGTTCACTCCATTGGCACACACCTTCTCACTCCTTAATCACCACTACAAGTTCTTTATTAGTTATTGATTATATCATTAATTAACTATATAAAAAGTATATATATGAGACATTAAAAATATATCATTGGAACTCTTCTTTTATATCCACAAACCCCTTCTTTCTCTCCTTTTTCTCTCTTTTTTTTTCTCAAAAAGTGATTGGCCAATAGGCTTGTAATGACTATAAATATAAGCTGATATGAACTACAATTTTTATTTTTTGGAATGAAATGTTCTAGTAAAGCGCTCTAGATTTATTTGTTGTTTGGTGGCTTTAAGTGTGTGCATTTTCCTGGTGATATTAAGTAGTTATATTTATATATTTTTTTACTTTATTCATGATTCCTCTTTAGCATATCACAACTCTTCCTCCACTTAGCATCCTCCAAGATTATTAATTTAAATCCCACAAACTCTCCCAACATCTCAATGTAGGTATTGCCTAAGTTCTAAAATATTTTGAAATAATCTTATTCCCCACATCTCAACATCACCTTAAACCCCTCCCAATTTTACCATCAACTTTAGATCATAAGATCATGACGTTCTAAGTTAATCATCTATGATCATTTTCTATCATTTATTTCACATAATATTTTCTTTGTATTAGGCAAAATTCTCACACATATATAGGAACAAAAATCATATGTTAAATATTTTGATGTAATTATATTTCAATAAATTTAAAAGTTATTAAATTTGTTTTTTAATTATTATAATATAATTTTTTATTAGAGAGAGAGAAAGAGAGAGAAGAAAGATATATAGAGAGAGAGATGACTCACCAATTTCGACTAACAAGAGCGAAGGTCTCCCACCCCACAGCTTCACCCATCCACCGCACAACACGACCGTCGGCTAAGCCAGCATATGGGCCCCGGCCCGACGGGTCGAACTCGATCGACTCGGGCCCAAACAACTGGCCCGAAAACTCGAGCTTGCCGGAGCTCAAACGGTTCTCACCGTCAGCCGGCCACCGCCCCATAACCTCATTATAGGGAGCAATGCTGTGACTCACTGGGCGGTAATCTATGCCAGCGAGAGGGCCGAGGTGGAAAGGATCAAGAAAGAGAACGCCGAGGAGAATGGCAAAGAAGAGAATACGTGGGCTTTGGAGTAATATATTTTCCTGAAACACAGGCAAGCTTTTCTTCTCTGCCATGGCGGAATTGAAGAGAAGAGAGTACTATTCCTGGCTTTGGGTTATTAAGGGTTTTATTGTTTTGGCAGAAGTTGAAGTGGGCATCAGACATGAGCGCCGCGTGAGTTACTGGACGGCTTAAAGGTAGGTGATTCATGACTCTTTCATGATATATATCGATATATGTATGATCAATATGCAAACCGTCATTATATGATATATATGAGTATAAAAATATTTCAATTTAGGAGCCGTTTTGTTGGGTGCATTTTTACCGCATACATTTTAAAATTAATAATAAAAGAGGTGAATTTAAATTATTTGCACCCCCAAGTTTCTTACTTTATCCCCCTTTTTACCCTAACAGCCCGTAATCATCCTCACACAGATGCAAAAATTTCGAACAAATTATGTCTTCATGCATTTCAATTTATACATTTATAAGACTTAATAGATTAATAAGCTTATAATAAATTTCAATTTATCCATCATAATGCAATGCAAGATTTTGCTTTGAATTATGTTTTTATTTTTATTTTAGTTTTGTTCATTTATATGAAAATCCCCCCCCCCTAAAATAAAAGGCTGGTTCCGCCCCTGTTTTAAATGTATGTAGTTCAAAAATACAATTATTTGATTGAGAGAATTTCAAATGCAATTAATTTATTTGTGAATTTGGAATTCACCTTTTAGCTCAAATTTGATATATTTAAAATTTGCTAGATTGGTCGGGCTGAATGTCGTTGTCGTGGTCATCATCTGCCTATCATATCGAACTTGATCACTTGCTAAAATTACTCAACAATTTTCTGTTGAGGCCTATCCCGTAGATGCACTCCAATTGGATTAGTGATCGATTCCTAGGTTTTGTCATAAGCTTAATTGGTTATGTTCAATTAAGTGAATCCACAGTTCAAAACTCAAAGGTTGGGCATTTCTCATTGATATATAACTTTTGTATCAGAAATAATGGTATCTTCAATTATAGTCATTCTGGGATGTAAAATATATTTCTTCTCACGAAAGATAAGAATTCATGCTCCTATCCTAACCAAAATCATAATTTGCTGTAATGTTTTTTTTTTACAAAATTTTATTTCTTTTGTGTTTGAGCAAATACCTTAACAAAATTTACAAGGTTGAATTTCCATTGCATGAGTTTTAAGAAGGCGTTAGAGTAATCGATGTATGAGGAGAATTCCTAAGTATACTTAGCATACCAAAATTGTCAAATTCCTTTGAAGTATGTAGAACATGATAGCTACCAATTCTCCATAGACATAAAGCAACATCCATTGTCCGCATAAAGTTATATTCATCACTAACATTGACTTGTGAATCACATAAATATCAATGATCCTTATTGCTTTGAAGCTTGGCCTAGTTATTACACAATTAATTCATTAGCTTATGTACTTATGTTTATGTGGTGAAATAAATGTTTAGCGCTCTTTATACTAAATTAGTTGAGTAAATATCATTTTTCGCTTAATAAGTTAATTAATTTCTCTTAAATATAAACCCATTTGTACTGCCCACATCATTATTGTGCTAGCATTTGTTGTTGTGCCTTGATGTTTAATTGAAACATAATTCAAAAGCTTGTGTAGTAGTGTTAATCCATTCATATTGACATAAATTCATGCTACAATGCACGTACACATTTCTAATGTGTGCACATGCAATTATTAAATTGTTATGTTTCATTATGTGCTTATTTTTTATTTTTATTATCTTTTATATTGAATTATATTTCAAAGGTGTTGAGTTGGTAAGGATTTCAAAAGAAATCTAAAGTTCTAGTTGGACACCCAATTCATCCCTCCCCTCTCCTTTTGGTACGCCTTTACATTGAATACTTAGTTTAATTATCTCGAGTACAGACTCCTACATCTTAAATAATTTTTGTAGATCATTATGGTTGATAATGGATACAACTCTAAAAAGGAGTACAACCTTCCTTTTGCAAATTGACATCTAAAATAGTCAGCAATAAAACTATTTTAGACCTACTAAAAGATTTGAACTCTCAACCCCAAAGACATAGATGTAAGCTTAATTACCCTACGTCCAATATATATTCAGAAAGGACATAAACAATTCCTATAAATTAGGCTTAATTTGAGATGTGTATATGATACTTCCCTAAAAAACTCTTTGGCTTCAAATTATTGGTTACATCGATAATTACTCCAAATAGAATGAATGTGATTCATGAGGGATCAAAGATATCTGAAGGGAATTCAAAAGAATCTATTTTGAAGGATAGAAGAAACTCACAAAGTTATATAATATCTATGAGTGTTACCATGATAATCATATAGTAAAATGAAATTTAAAAAAGAAAAAAACTGCTTTATATTAAGAAGGAGAGTTTCAAAGGGGGGTGACACTACAGGAAATTCAGACATTACTGACGGTTAATGATAGATTTCTGACAATTTTGTAAAAAATCGACGGCTTTTCACACTACAGGAAAACCTGGTATTACCGGCGGAAAGTATCTGCCGGTAATACGTAAAATACGACGGAAATCTTTGATTTGCAGCGCCTTTTCGTCAGAATTTCGTACGCCGGTTTGGTGCGCATCGAAAAATGTCTTTTGATGTTTATAAGATGCCGGAAACCTTTTTGGCGCACTCTCCAACGCATTACCGGCGCAAAATGTGTTAGCCAAAACGTCGTTTCTTAACAGATTATTTCGGCGTTATATACGCCGGAATTTACGACATACATTTCCGACGGAAATACTGATGGATAAAACGCCATAACGTTCGCCGTAATTAAAGCTATGACTTGTTTCTAGCACCCTTTAGTCGTTGGATACTCCGGCGGATAAGAGAAAATTAAATATATGGAGATATTAAAAGTAGAATTCAAGTGATGGTGAAATAGATGGGGATATTTTGTACTGCATCGGGCTTGTTGTGCGGGTAGAAAAATCTCCCTCAAACTTAAGGGAAAACCTTTAGACTCTAAGCTTGACCTCCATAATTCAAGTTTACCTTCAACTCCATCTATAGTCTTATCAACAAGAAGAATATCATCAGCAAAAGACATACGCCGGTAACTGTGCCGAACCTTTTGTAAAAGTCTAGTGAGAACATTTACGACTAAAGTAAAAAGATATGGACTTAAGGCTTAAAATTGATGTAATCTAATTGAAATAAGAAGTTGCTTTGTCAAACCACCTTATGTTTTAACACAAGTAATAGCTAATACATACATAATTTGTATAAAGATTTTCGCTTGAGTAGATCTAAAACTGAATATATAGAGATATTAACAGTAGAATTCAATAGATGGGGATATTTTGTACTGCATCGGTCTTGTTGTGCGGTAGAAAAATCTCCCTCAAACTTAAAGGAAAACCTTTAGACTCAAAAGTTGACCTCCATAATTCAAGTTTACCTTCAACTCCATCTCTAGTCTTATCAACAAGAAGAATATCATCAGCAGAAAACATACGCCGGTAACTGCGCCGAACCTTTTGTAAATGTCTAGTGAGAACATTTACAACTAAAGTAAAAATATATGGACTTAAGGCTTATCCTTGATGTAATCCAACCGAAATAAGAAATTACTTTGTCAAACCTCCTTGTGTTTTAACACAAGTAATAGCTCATGCATACATATTTTTAATGATTTGAATATAAGCGCTATTAACTCTATTTTTTTTTTTTGCAAGAACTCTCAATAGCACTCCTCTTTAAACTTTATCATATGCTTTCTCTAAATCAACAAAAATCATATGTAGATCCTCCTTATTCTCTCTATATTTCTCCATCAAACCTCTCAATAAAAGTATAACTTCCATAATAGACCTACCCGGCATGAATCCAAATTGATTTTGAAAAATTTATCAACAAAAAAAATCTAATATGTGCATCATCAAAAATGTCTAATAAGAAATAACATGAAGAAAAAAAATGTTACAATCGACAAAATCTGGAGGCGGCGAAAATGAGTGATAAAGATTGATTGATTAGAGTTTATGATAGAAGAATGAAACAAAACTGACTGAGATATGATATAAACTGCTTATTGATACATATAACCGATAAATGATTTACAACATATTGTTCTCTTTTACCTTGCATTGATTTTAGTTGTTAGATTTTGATTACTTGTTGGACTATGTGTTCATTACGTGGTTTTATATAATTTTAGGAAAGAATAAGGATTTTATGATATAAGGCTCCGGACAACATGCATAATTCTTTCGACTATTCATAAGAAATTTGTAAGATCATGTTAAATGACTAAAATGAAAGACAAATGCAATTCTTCCAATATAGATCTTGGGGCGTGACACTTTGCAATTGTCTTGTTCTTTAAATAGTGGTTTCTTGGCACAAACAAGAATAAATATTAATTTAATGTACGCATCTCACCATGATCTATTGATTGGTTAGGAGTTTTGACTACCAACAAAGAGGTCTTGAGTTCTAATTTTGTTTATGTGATGTGTTTTTGTTTATCTTATTTGACCTAAATGTCCCCCAAAAAATATATATATTAGTTTAAAATGTTGGTGGAATATCCTTTTTCTGTCAAATAAGTTGTTTCAACTCACAGAAAGAGTAACAAAACATAATTCTATGCACTGAAAAATTACAATTATTTTTCATGCAATTTCACGTATACAGTTAATTATTAAATGATTTTTAAAATGTTAATTAAATCATTGACATCATAAATATTAATTTCTCAAAAATAAGGAAAAAGGGTCATCATTAAAGAGCATTAACCCTACTCATATTTGCCGGTGAGCTTCGTCCTATTTTATTATTAATATATTATATATTGACTTTATTATATAAAAAAGTAAAAGTGAGACTGTGAGAGCATTGCAATAATGATATTAAAAAAAAAAATCAATAATTATAAAAAAGTTGATTTTTTAAATTGCGAGAGCTCGATTTCAATTAATTTAAAAAAATTTATAAAATTTACATATCTAACCCAAAAGATGAAGAGCTACAAAACTTAATACATTTGGAATCATTTAGAACAACAAAGTGTAAAGGGCAGAAACAACATTAACAAAAAAAAAAAAAAAAAACAATTATATTATAATATATTGATATAAATTGTATTAAAATGGACTTGAAAATTATTAATTTTATTTGTAAATTAATATAATATATATTTTTCATATATAATATGAATCTCTAAAAAACCAACAATATTTAAAAAATTATAACAAATATTTCTTAGAAATAAGTTTTACTCAAAGAGAGTTTCTAGGCATCCACATAAAGAACTACCAATCGAAAAATAAATAAGAGCGTGATTTGGAGTCTTTTTAGACAACTGCAGATTATATCTAAACATAAAACAGATTTATTGAAATATCGCAAATCTATAATTTTAAACATATAAATGAAAAATATCACAAAATGGTAGATGATGAAAGAATGGAATAATTATTTCTTCAAATTTCAATATCAATCTATTAAAAATAATTTGAAAAATTTTTATTGGTTATTATTATTATTATAGATTTTAAGTTTTGTTTACATTATTATAAATTTTATTGGTTATTGTTATTATAGCTAAATAAAATCCTCTTTTTAAATTAAACACCAGCATGTCTTCCAACGAACAAATTTAATGCTCGAATACAAAAGTCTGAGAATGATGCGTGAGGTTAAAAGCAAGCTAAACAATATCTTATTTTCAAATTAAACACCTGCATGTACTCCGACAAATATGCTAAACTCAGAAACGCAAAAATTCGAGAGAACAACACGGGTCAACATAAACAAGAATTTTATTTTTCAAGTCAAATTCTCATCCCTTAAAGGACTAGAGTGACAAGACGAGTTAATGAATGAATACTCAATCATGAAATCTACAAAGATATTTTATTTTACGTTCACATAATGTCTTGTAACGAATGTTTTTACGATTCATTTTCAAACTTACTCATCTCAATAAGGAGGTCATGTGTCATTTAATCAATAATTTGCCACAAAATGACACAACAGGTAAATAACTATGATCGAAGCCTTATGACTGATTAGTTTACTTTATATATAAACCAATAAATTAAGATCATGGCTTTAGCCCGTATGTTCTCTAATGGCTAAAACCCTTGATAATAAACCATACGATATACTTCGTAGGGCACAAAACCTTTTATTAGCTAGGATCAACTTGAATTTGTTATCTTAGACAAATATTTATCACAAGTCTACAAGATACCCTTGGACGAAACAACCTATAGTTGCCGACAAAATCCTTCAGGTTAGGTTGGGCCAATTATCTCTGACTAAGTAGAATATATATGGACCACGATAACTTGGTACAATAGAACTATGAGATCTTGACCAAATAAGTTATCATTCCCCCACCATTCATTTTAAGTGCAAGGGGGTATATTAGCATGACAACTAGCATGACATTATCCTTTTAGTGCTTAACCTTATCCTATTGTTACTACCTTGGACACATGGTCCGAAAAGATTGTATCAAATTCTTGAAAAAGCATTTACACCATTGTCTCAGTCTTTTTATTTCATGAATATGCCATGATATTTAAAGTTACTATTTCATATATCTTCTGGATTTACACCACTTGTAGCCATCGGCTTGGCCCTCCTTAGCTCTGTTATGTCCCACCCAATGTCAATCCAACATCTAAAGAGGGGCAATTATGAGAATTAATAAGTTGAAGAAAGCTCAGTTGTGATGACACTCACATTGACTTCGGCAAAACTTAAAAGAATTTTCTATGATTAACAATGAAAGAAAACATGATTTTCCCAAATACATATAACATAAAAAACTAGTGGCTTCATCTACTACTAAAAAACTTGAACTTCGACAACCAAAATTTGTAAGTAAACCTTCATTTTTTAAGTTACATACACATATACACAGCTATTGTAAAACAATATATAGATTACAAACTTTCTCATTTGAATTATTACAGATCTTAACCTTATTTGGTAGGAACAATTCTGCTCCATTTCTTTTCATTTTCCTTTCATTCAGGCCGATTTACAGTCGGCTAATATATGAAATACAGTAAGACAGATACAGACTAAATATATTCTTAGATGATTGATCTTAAGCTAATTCTATCTCACTTTCATCCAAGTTTGTTTTGGATCTTATGTTACAACGATACAGCAGCCCAAGATGTATAATTTTTTTCCTAAAGAAGGTTTGAACTCAACCAAAAGTTAAGAATTCATATCAAATGAATCGAGAAGGACATCATGTGAACTTATCTTCTGAAGATTCTCCTTCATGGTTTATGCCTACTACATTACATTGCATTCTTTAGTTCTAGAAGTTGCGACCATCTCTGATCATAAGTCCTCTTCTTAGCAGTGCCTGTGAGCAAAGGTCAAACTCAGATTTCTTCTAAGAAAAAAAAAAAAATAATCATTTGATTAAGGCTACGTTTGGGACGATTTTTTTACTGCTTTTTAAAATTTTTTACTAAAAAATGCTTTAAGAAACAGTAAAAAAACAGTCTCAAGCGAAGCTTAAATAATTGATAGAAATATGCGTTAACCAAACATTTAGAGGTTCCTGAATAAATACATTGCCATGTAATTGCTGATTTCTCACATGATTCTGAACAGGTGTCCTGGAAACATAATACATTTATTAGAACAATGATTTTAACTTATTAAACAAGGAATCCTAATGGTTTTAGAATTGAGGGCGGTGCTACCTTTGTTGATGCTATCAACCTTATGGTATCTTGCACTACTGAATCAAGATCAGCTTCTGACCCTGGTTTCACATATATCACCTGCTTAAGAAAATCATTTCTTATAAGGATGGGCATATGTAAGTACAATCAAGAAAGAAATAATTTGCGTAAATGCATATATTAGAATATTCTTATACAGTTTTTTATGAGGATAGAAAGAAAATCTCAAAAGTTCTTTGTTTAAAATTAGAGGATGCATAAAGAGAAATATAAGATAATACCATTTTTAAAATTTCATTAAGTTTTAATAAATGCCTTTTATTAATCAAATGTCATCTCTTTTAAGTCTCTGTCATCTTCTTTGAGCATTTGTACTCCTACCCGCACACACTGTATCAAGATGGTGAAACAAAATTTTCTCAAAATGTAAGAAAAAAAGGAGATGGAGACGAGTGCTTGCTTGATCACTTCCACCAATTTGAGGCAGCTCATGTTCACTGTCTTTGCTAGAAGGCAGAATCCAAACATCAAAGGTAGTGTCAATCTGCAAACATCACATTATTTCACAACAATGTTAGCTGTTAATAACTATTTCAGATAAGTGGTTTTTTGAGTTTTACTTGAATATATAATTTACAGCTTCACTGCTGTTGAAGAATCAGAATTGAGAACATAGTAATCCATTCTTGGTTTTAGAATTTGTTTCTCTGATAAAATATTTATTCTGAAACAAAATCTCTTATTTGAAGAACAGAAAATTTCAGTACAATCTTACTTCGACAGAATTAGAGGACATATCTGTAGTGGTTTGGTTGCCAATAACATGATCTCGAAGTTGCAATTTGAATCATTAAACTAATTTCTCTGTAACAAATGCTAATAACGGAAACCTTCTTGTACTTCTTATTCCCTTCTCTTTCTCATACTTTTAAAAAATGCCAAGAACATTGAAGGGTTTGTTTTCTAAAGAAAACTGCCAACAAATTAATTTCTATGTTCCTTGATAACAGGATCTTTCTTCTTTTTATCCATTAACTTTGATTTTGGAAGTATTTTGAATCAAAGAGTTCTCTTTTTGTGGCTTTCTAAGCATTACCTACCTCTCTATAGTATGATGAGAAGCAACAGCTGCATTTTCCTTTCATGGATGTGACGATCCGCCCGTCCACTGAAAATCCAAAACCAGTGTGCTGGAAAGAAGCACACAGTGTCAAGGGTCAGTCCCGAAAGGAATAAGAGAATGAATTCAAACTTTTAAGCAATAAGTAGAAATGGAATTCAACTGATCACTTGGAATTGCTTTGTTTGTTTTTCTTTTATTTTTTACAAGTTTATTGGTAACAAAATGTCATTGATTTCATTGAATGTTTCTTGTTTCACAGAACTAGTTGATTCAAAACAAGTGAAAAACGCCAATTAAAGTTCATCTAGAAGACTATCTCTTTACTTAATTTTCTGTTTTTGAACCCAAAAAAAGAAAAGGAAACGGATCTACAATGATTCTAGAAAGAGCGCAACCTTTTGAATAGAGAGGCTAACAAGGACCTCAGCATTGTCATCTCCCTCCTCAGCTAAATCTGCAAGCTGAAGCTCTCTCAAAGAAAGGAGATAGTCACAGTTCCATTGGCCTTGCCATTTCCCACAGGAAGTCGAGATAGTGATCAAACGCCTTGACGTTCTTCCAGACTTCATAGATTTCCTCTTCGTATGCTGCCCATTGGAAAACAACCAAATAATTCAAATTAGTCCTCTCTATGCTCGCAGATTCTAAGGTAAGAAGAAGAAGAAGAAGATGTTGATGATGACGATAGACCTGAGAGACAGAATGTTTATTTGAGGAAGAAGCTTCGGTTCTGAAATGTGAGGGAAAAGAAACTGATACTGAAAGCTTCTGGCTTTTTTGGGCTATTTTCTTAGGGTTTTGTAGAAGGTAAAGAGAATGATTGAAATGCTCAGAGATGAAGTGGCGGAGTGCTGCCATGATCTCTTCCGTAGAGAGATCAAGCTCTCTGTCGAGCCTTATCTTCAGGGTTTAAGATTGATAATACTCCACATTTGTGGTCATCACTTCGTTGAAGTTAGTGCAATGTTCCGTTGGTCGGTAGGCACTGGGCGGGCTCAGAAAGATTTTAGGCATGCTTGGCCCGTAAAAAATGATCGGGTTGGGCTAAATAGGGTTAATAGTTTTTTTATTAAGGAAAATTGAGAGCAAATACTCAATTACATTACAAAAGCATACAAAAAATGGATTAACTAAGAAAATTGAGCTCAACAGCAAAATAAAAATAAATAAGCTGCATAAAAATATAAATAATTAGGGGATTAGCTCATGCTTTTAGTAGTATTTATTTGATAATTCAAACTATAAAAAATTGTTTAAGAGAAGTATTGTTTAGCATAGCACAGTGAAAATCGTTCAATCAAAACCTTCAGAAGAAGGCAACAATAAAACAATCAAGAAGTCTCCTGATGTTAGAAGTCATTGTGATGCCACCATTTATGAACAATTGATATTGTTTGATTTGACAAATTTTATGCTACTTCCATTGATTTTTTAATTTAATAAAATGTTACAAATATAAAGTAAATAACTCAAATATTTTATGATTGATAAAACTTGCCTACAACTTCAGGTAATTAGGGAGAAAGGGCATGGACAACATATGATACGTACAATGGTTGATATTTTGAGAAAGAAAGGATGTTGAGCCAAAAACTCAAAGTGCTCTACATATTAGTTGATTTCTTCCCTAATATGTTCCGTGAGTATTTATAGACTAGAATGGCTTCTAATAACATATTAAACACCTAATAAGCCTAAGACTCATAATGAGGCTAACTCATATTGATCTACACATTCATTAATTCCTATAGCTCATATTGATATACCCTTATGGTCAAGAAAAAAAAGTTACACTCCATGAAAAGCTAAGCCATCAGGACTATGAATATAGGACAGATGCTTCGAGTCAAGAGTAATATTGACAAAGACAATGAAGACGAGATCTGTAGATATTAGTGTTTGAGCAAAGGTGGGCAGGTTAATGGGATTGGCATTGGGTGGATTTATAGGATTGGGGGGGGGGGGGGGGGTCACGCCCCAAGATCTAACTTGGAAAGAATGTCAATCTATTACTCAAACAATTTACCAGAGTTATCTAAAACCTTCAATTAAACAGTCTATCAAACATCTATAAAATTTAAAACATCAATATACAAGTCGATTCATATCTCAAAAGGTCATGTACAATACTCAGGAACTACACTACAATCACCAGTACTGAAATCTATCCTGAGTACAAAAGAATCAAAATCAATCAAAAGACAAAAACCTGAAGATCCGGATCATTCCTATCTTCTGCTCCCTTGCCCTGACCTGAAAATATCAACCACATTAATGAGCTTTACAAGCCCAGCAGGTCACCTAATACCTATAACTGAAATCAAAGCACGGCGATGCTATCAATATGCATGTCAGTCAATCAAATCAATATCAGTCAATGGTCAATGAGTCTATGCAATGCGGAAATCCATAGTCAATGAAACCAGTCACTGCAACAGCAGGTAAAACGATAAATCCAGCTCAATCAATCAGTACGTGAAATGATCAAGAGAAATCCGTTCGATCAGTCAAATCAATTGTATCGAACCAATCTATCGTATCAAAGCAAATCTCTAGTATCAAGTCGGTAAAATCAATCGGAAAAGCAATACGATAAATCAATGCCAAGTTCAATGAGTCTATTAAACAATGTCATAAAGATATGCTGTTCATGTCCATATCAATGTCAATATCAATAGCTCAATAAATGCTCGATGATCAATCAATGAAATCAATGGAATCCGTACCAATACAGGTAAATCCGTTAATTCATGCACATCAGGAAATCCATTACGATGTAATATTCAATGGTCTTACTAGACAAGCACAACGATGGCTATGTTGCTTTTGTAGAATCCCTATGCTGTGTAGATATTCTATACGTTGGTTCCATTAATAAGAGTCGTCATCTTTTTTGCCCGCGGCCGCCCGTCGGCGTATTAAAACTCCTATATAACTCCCAATCGTTATATCCCATGATCCACTGATCTATGATTTAAAGGAAATCCCGTCGGCCCACCATCATGTACAGGTCCATATTCCAATCTCCAATACCAAGCGTCCGAACTCATGGTTCCCATTCTTGTCTTTCAGTAACAATCAACTCAATCAATAGTCATATGCAATAAATCAATAAAGAGTCAATTCTAAGGCGCAATATAACAGCATCAGATCAACATTTCAATATGCATATTCAACTGCAAAGTCTATCATCTCACAACAAATCAGGAAATTATACCGAAAAATCGGGTTCAGAGTGTAACGGCAGTCTACGCTAATTACACAAAAAATCTCCAAAAATTACAGATCACCAAATTAATACAAGGAACGTGCACAGCAACATTGTAAAACTAATCTATCTACTGCACAAACCAATTCAGAAAATCGATTTTTATTTTAAAAAACTTTGCAGTACAAAATAAAACTCCGCCAGAATCAAAACGGGACTGGACGAAATCTTTCGGAAAAAATACTTAAAACGTTGCAGAATTAATCACATTTACAACATACAAAGTATATGCGGTTGGAAAGGTTTCGTTCAATACAAAATGCGGCGCGTTTATCGGTAACGAAAACACAAATCTGAGCACAGAAATATCAAAACTCGAAATCTTCGAAAACAGAAATAGGATTCGGATTCCTTACTGCGAGATAAACAAATCTTCTAACAGCGTCGTCGGACGAAAAGCGCTCCGCGAGCTCCAAAAAACAAGCTTTTCTTCTCTCCTTCTTCTCTTCTCTCTCTTGCCTTCTCCTTCTCTCTCTTCGAAATGAATAAAAATATCTCGAATCCGATATTTATTAACACTGATCGTCCCGGACGATCCAAAATTCGTCCCGGTACGATTTGCTCTCTGGACAAATTTCGTACGGACGAAATCAATTATCGTAAGGACGATTTTCTCTCTGGACAATTTTCGTCCTAACGGATCGTCCCGACTGCTCCAGGTTCGTACTGACAAAAATGACAGATTTCTTCACAAATTTCTTTAGTTCGTCCAGTACTAAATCCAGTTCATACAGACGAACTGCACTAAAAAAATCAGCTTTTTGAAGGGTTTTACAGGGGGTGAGGAAATGATTGCAAAAACTATGAGATGGAGGATGGCATGGATTGATCCATCTACATGAATTGATGCGAGAGCCATTGGCTATATATATATTCCTTTCATTTTTGAAAAACTCGCATGTCCACCTTTTTATAATCAGTTGATTATCGCATGTGGATGTTAATTCAGGAAGGATATTCTATACCATCAAAATTATTAAATGGCATGCAAATTAAACTTTCTTTTTTGAATGGAGGATAGATGATAAAAATTTAGCTCAACTAAATGCTAAATGTTTAAACTATTTTTTTTTTTGTGCTTTGAAATTTGATGATTACATGCGTGTATCTACTTGCATAACTAGAAAAGAAATTTGTGATAGACTATCCATAACCTACGAAGGAACAACTAAAGTGAAACACTCTAGGTTAAATATTTTGCTCCATAATTATGAACTATTTCGCATGAAACATAATGAAACCATATCTAAAATGTATACTATGTTCACACAAATTATCACATCCCTGCATGCTTTAGGTAGAAAATTATCAAATTTTGAAAAAGTTAATAAGATCTTGTGATGTCTAACTAGTTTATATGATGTCAAAATAACTGATATTTTAGAATCCAAAGATTTAAATGCTTATTCTATTGATATCTTACGTGGATCTCTAATCACCTATGAGTAAAGAATAAGCCAAAGAAAATCTAATCAAGGAGAAAGAAAGAAGGAGAAAGCTGTAGCCTTTAAGGCAAATGATACAGACAGATCCTCTGATAGAGGAGAGGAAGAAATTGTATTGATGACTTGATAATTTAGAAGCTTTCTAATGAAAAAGCAAAAGAATCATCAGCAATAGAGCAAAGGTAAGAATTATAGAAATTCTAAAGCTTCTAATTATATTTTCTATTATGAATGCACGAAACCAGGGCACATTAAAACTAATTGCCCAAATCTCAAAGGCCACCAAAGCAAGGAGAATGTTGAAGAAAGAGCAAATTCCTATAAAGGCAAGCTAAGATCTCAGAAAGCCTTTTTAACTGATTCCGCTTTAGATTCATCTGAAACAAAAATAGAATAGGAGGTGAAAAATTTGTGCTTAATGGTAAACAATTATCTTGATTAGTATGATCAGGATGAGGTATTTCAACTTTCATACAATGAATTACTTGTTGTTTCAGAAGAGGTTCATGATTCTTACATGAAACTGAAAAAGAAGCATGTTAACTTGAAAATTGAATGCTTAGTTATGAAAATAGAAAATGAAATGCTTAGAAAAGATGGTTCTAATATTAATAAGGATCCAATGACTTTACTGGATGAATTTGATGAATTAAATAAGAAATATTATGCTTTATCTGAAACACATGATTTTTTGAAATCATTGCATCTTGATTTAGAAAAATTATTTAAAGAATTAGAAGCATGTGTTAATATTTTAGATCTTAGTGAGCATACTTTTAAAATTGAAATATATTCTCTTAAAAGTGCTAATGAAATATTATTAGAAAAAGTAAAGGCTTTTCAAAATAAACCCGTTCATAAGCACTCACTATGTCATGCATCTCATAAACCTAGGAATATGAATCATAACTATTATAGGTTAGTTAAACCTTTTTATGATGTTAGATGTTATTCCTGTAGCAAGTTAGGACACATTAGTCACACTTGCACCATTCATCATAAAACACACTTGATGTGGAGACCAGCGTTGCATCAAACATAGCATGGCATGCATTTTAATGATTTATTCAAATTCAAGAAAGGACACAAACTCACTAGGGTCTCCAAAATTGTTCTTACATGATCTTTGGATTTAAGGGCTCTCACAAAATACCTAGTGGGATCATGTGGTTTTTGGGCTTGATATTTAAATTCTATCACTTGAAATTAGCAAT